CGTTGTTTAATAGCATACCATTCAGTCTCCATATTTTTGGGTGCTTTGGGTCTTTTTCTTAGGGGTTGGTTTCTAAATTCAGTCCCTTGTGGTCAGAGAAGATGCTTGGTATGATTTCAATTTTCTTGAATTTTTTGAGGCTCCTTTTGTGTCCTATCAAGTGGTCTATCTTTGAAAATGTTCCGTGTGCATTTGAAAAGAATGTGTATTTAGCTTCTTTGGGATGAAGGGCTCTATATATATCAGTTAAGTCCATTTCATCTAGGGTGTTGTTTAATGCCACAATATCTTTGTTGATATTTTGTTTGGAAGATCTGTCCATTTTTGATAGTGGGGTTTTCAAATCCCCTACTATAATTGTGTTGCTGTCAATATCTTTCTTGAAGTCCTCTAAGATTTTCTTGATATATTTGGGTGCCCCTATGTTTGGTGCATATATGTTTACAATGTTAATGTCTTCTTGGTGGATTCTTCCCTTTAATATAATGAAGTGAACTTCTGGGTCTCTCTTTATAGCCTTTTTTTTTAAGTCTATTTTGTCTGATATGAGAATTGCTACCCCAGCTTTTTTTTTCTTGTCCGTTTGCTTGGAAAACTTGTTTCCAGCCTTTCACTTTTAGTCTGTGATGGTCTTTTGTCCTGAGGTGTGTCTGTTGTAGGCAGCATATGTGTGGGTCATGCTTTGTTATCCATTGAGCTATTCTGTGTCTTTTGATTGGAGAATTTAATCCATTTACATTTAAGGTTATTATTGATAGGTACTTATTCATTGCCATTTTTGTACCTGTGTTCCTCTCTGTCTCCCTCTTATCCTTCCTTCCCTTAAAACAGTCCTTTCAGTATTTCTTGTAGAGCTGGTTTGGTGGAGGCATATTCTTTTAGGCTTCTTTTGTCTTGGAAGCTCTTTATTTGGCCATCTATCTTGATTGAGAGCCTTGCTGGGTAAAGTAGCCTTGGTTGTAGGCCTCTGGTTCTCATTACTTGGAATATTTCTTGCCATTCTCTTCTTGCTTGAAGTGTTTCCATTGAGAAGTCAGTAGCTTACCTTATTGGGGCTCCCTTGTATGTTATTTCTTTTTTCTCCCTTGCTGCCTTTAAGATTCTCTCTTTGTCTTGGAATTTTGCCATTTTGATGATGATGTGTGTGTAAGTGGGCCTCCTTGGGTTCCTCTTGGTTGGGACTCTCTGTGATTCCTGGATTTGTGAGACTTTTTCTCTTATCAAATTAGGAAAATTTTCTTTCAGTACTCGCTCAAATACATTTTCTATCCCTTGTTCTTCTTCTTCTCCTTCTGGTGTTCCTATTATTCTGATATTATTACGTTTCATATTGTCTTGCATTTCTCTTTATCCCTCTTCATTCTTTCGAGCCTCTTTTCATTTTCTTGCTCTTTCTGTGAGATGCTTTTTACCTTGTCCTCTAAGTCCCTAATCCTATCCTCAGCTTCATCTATCCTACTTTGGAAACTTTCTACTGTGTTCTTCAATTCAGAAATTGTATTCTTCATATCCTCTTGTCTCTTGCTGATAGTTTCCATTTCCTTTTTGATGTTGCTGTAGTTTGCAGAGAGATCATTATAGTTCCCCTGTAGTTTCTGGTAGTTCACTGTGAGCTCTTTGAACTTCGTAATAACCAGTGCTTTGAATTCACTGTCTGATAGTTGATCAGCGTCTATTTCATCTAACATTCTTTCTGAAGTTTCTGCTCTTTCTTTCATTTGGGGATTGTTTCTTTGTCTTCCCATTGTTTGAGACTCTTCTTGTTAGTCTCTGCTTCCAAAATTGATCTGTTCTGAAACCCTGGTTTATGGTGTAAACTTCTGTGGTATGATCTTTGTGCAGACTCCTTGAAGTTTCTTGATGTTCTTCATCTTCACCTACACTCACGCTGGTCCTCGTGCTGGTCCCTGCGTTGTTCGCCTACCACTGCTGAATGTCTCGGCTCTAGGAGCCGCCTCCTCAAGCACCCAGGCTCATTACTACAGCAGTGGCACAGAGGCTGGGAATGTCCCAGCTCCCGTATCTGGCTCTCTCTGCCGCGCAGGGCCGTCACAGGGGCTTGGAGTGTCCCAGTTTCCGTACCTGAGTCCCCGGCGTCTAGTCCTGTCTGTATGGCAGTGGCACAGAGGCTTAGAAAGTCCCAACTCCCGTACCTGATTCCCCAGTGTCCAGTCCCGTCGCTATGGCAGCAGCACAGGGGCTGAGACCGTCCAAGTTCCCGTAGAGGGCTCCTCTGCCACCCAGGGCTGTCTCAGGGGTTTGGAGTGTCCCGGCTTCCGTACCTGACTCCCCGGTGTCCAGTCCCGTTGCTATGGCAGCGGCACAGGATCTGAGAACATCCCAGCTCCCGTAGCTGGCTCCTCTGCTGTGTCACAGGGGTTTGGAGAGGCCCGGCTTCCGTACCGGACTCCCTGGCGTCCAGTCCCGTCAGTATGGCAGCGGCACAGGATCTGAGAACTTCCCGGCTCTGGTAGCTGGCTCCTCTGCTGCGTCACAGTGGTTTGGAGAGGCCCGGCTTCCATACCTGACTCCCCGGTGTCCAGTCCCGTCGCTATGGCAGTGGCACAGGATCTGAGCGCTTCCTGGCTCCCGTATCTGGCTCCTCAGGGTCCAGGCCTGTCTCTATGGCTACGTCACAGGTGCCTTTGGTGTCCCAGCTCCTGCAACTGACCCTTCCGTTGCCCAGGCCGGTAGCTATGGCGTGGGCACAAGGTTGTCCCCGCTCCGGTTCCTGATTCCTCGGTCTCCCAGGACCGTCACAGGGGCTTGGAGTGTCCGGCTTCCGTACCTGACTCCCCGGCTCCCAGGCCTGTTGCTCTGGCGGCAGCACAGGGGCCACGTGAGACCCAGCTCCAGTAGCTGACTCTGCCACTGTCTGGTGTTTCAGCGTCGGTCACAATCTCTGGTCTTTTAATTTCATAAATGCTGGGTAACCGATGGTTTATTATGCTGTTTCTCTATAGATCTGCCAGGATTTTCACCCATGAGTACAGGAGCTAGTATCAGCTCCATCTTACTCCGTCGCCATCTTCCCAGCATCCTCTTTACTATTTCTTAAACCGGCTAGGTGGGCTGTTTCTTTTTTTAGAAAATTCTTTCTCACCAATTCCTACAGGGGTAACTCTCTTGCCTCCTCTAAGTCTAGTGTCAAAGGTTGCATTCTCAATGAAGCTTACCTGACCACACTATTTAACATGGCAAACCAGCCAACAACACAAACTTCAGATGTCCTTACCTGCTCTGCTTTTGTTTTTGATAGCACTTATTACCATCTAACATGTTATGTTACATTCTCACATTTTTTTATTGTTTATTATATGTCTCTGCCAGACTGAATTGTAAATTCCATGAGGGAAGAGACCTTTGTTTTGTACCTCAGAGAAAGTAATAATTCCATAAATAGTTGTTGAATGAATAACTACTGGTAATGAAATCATCCATGTACTATTTGAGATTATCTGAGTAAATTTAGTTGTTAGGCTTCACTACAAACTTTTCTAATATGTTTCATTGTTACATGGACAGAAAATCAAAACTTATCTGGAGAATTTTGTTTTCATTATTTAAAGCTGTTTATATAACATAATTACTTAATTAGACTTATATATTCAATTTTTCATAATATCTGTATGTATAAGTAGTTATTACTTTTGCATAGATTGGAAGTCAATTCATGCACACATGCGTTGGCTAAGTTATTTGTTGTAGGAAAAGTATTCTTTTTCTTCAGAAAACATTATAGATATTTTTCAAATAAGTGTTAATTAGGAAGTATCTATAGTAGCATTAAATTTTACTATTCATTTGTGGAATACCCATAATCAATGTATAAATAAAGAACTCAGATGTCAAAAGTTAAAAAAATGTAATGTTTGGCTTGTCCCCCTACCCCCAAAATATGATGTTTTTTTTAATGTATACATGTTGAAATATATATATATACACACACACAAATTGAACATCTTTGTTGATTTTTCACTGAAAATTACAACTTACTGGAAGAAAATAGGCATAAGTAAAAATGATATTACATTAGAAAGAATAGATGAATTAAAAATAAGCATTTTTCCTTTTGAAAATTGTTACCACTTAATGTAAGCATAGGCTAAATATAAAGAAATATTGATTTTTAGCATCCTAAAAAGACCTTGCAGTTATGAAATTTATCAAATCTTAAAGGTTATCTTTGCTTCAAAAACAAGGCTAAACCAAAACAGAGATGTTACAGAAATCATGAACGTATGTGACGCTAAGTGGGGTGTCAGTTCCTTCTTATAAATTTATTATAATGGCATATTATAAGATTAAGAATAGAATGATATCTAGAACTATTTACTCCAAACTTGCATTTTAGTAAATGGAGATACTGAAGTTTTACTTAACAAATAAGAAAACTGAGTCTCTGAGAGAGTGAATGGTTTTCCCAGCTTCAAATGACTTAGTTGGATAATTATTACTTACATATTACAGTTACCAGGAGAAATGATAAAGATGATATTTTTCTTAAAAACCCTAAGAACTACAGAAGAAACTTGAGGCTGTCACCTATTGATACAAGTTATAGCAAGGAAAATGCAATTTCCTGGGTCCTGGTGGATTGAAATGTTTTATTATATGGAGATGCTTGTGACATAACAGGTCCCATTAAGAACAATAGGATTATCCAGTCTTGAATTCAAAGCTTTTAAATATAAAATAGTACAATTTGAAACTTAAGAGATATGTACAGTTTGCAAGGACCAGCCAGTCTTATAAAGAAATGTTCTCCCTTTCAAAAGTTGAGGAGCACTGAAAATGCTAGGTTATCTTTTCAAGATCACATGCTGAAACCATTAGTTAAAAAAATTCAAACAATTTGTATAGTAGGTGCTATACTGTTTTTTGATAACAGTGTAAAGTATTGAGTTGAGGAAGAGTTTGGATGTTTACATATGAGTTCATACTGACCTATTTAGAATTCATAGAAAGAGTTAAGACAGAGTTTAAAAACTAAAGCTTACTTGGTGGAAGAGGCTCATCAGTTGTTGGGTAGTGATGATGTTCAGGCCTCAAGGAAGGAAGCTGGCTTACCGGCTGGGAATTATGGAGTATAGCACATTCACCTAAGGACAAGATAGTCAAGACATTCAGATTCACTCATTGTTATGGTAGCATGTTCCAAAAAAGCATGATTTTAAAACAAACTACTATAGAAAAAAAAGCCCAAAAAAGAGGCAGTCTATTTTTTTATCAGTTTACTATATTCCCTGTTGTTCATGAGAGAGGGAACAGAGGTAATTACTTTTTTTAACCCCCCAAAAAAAGAGCCAAGCACTTCATGACTATATATCACAAAGACCAATACATAAGGTTAGGGTCTGAGTATGTAACCATCTGAATTATCTTGATGGAAAGGTAGCATCAGAAAGGGACACAGAGGAAAATTATCAGAGCCTGACTTTAGCCCAGAAAAGAGATAGGCCTGTTTGAGGAAAGTGTAGCATTTCTAAGGTCCCATGAAAGCTCAGTGTTCTTGTGCGAAATTATTGCTCCTTGTTTGAATGGGTTTTGTCAGAGGGCTGCCAAAACCCTCTGATGCTGTTTTTCATGTTTTGTTTTTGAAATGAACTCTACAATGGTGATTTTCCAAGATGGGGTTAAGGAATTAGTGTGTCAAGAAGGTGAATTCCTTTAGTATAGAAGCTAATGGCTTGGGTGGTGGAGCCAAGGAGCTATGGGATTTTGTGATTGTTCCAGATTATTTTGAGAAAGAATCAGACAAGCCAGAGTGCTCTAGAAAGAGGAAAGGACAAAAGACAATGAAAGTAGATACTAGTCAGGAAAACTGAGACAGGAAAAATTGAAACACTTGAAGAGGAATAGAAGGAAGAAGAACAATAAATTTTGGAAATAAACATAGCCTCTCAATGCATGCCCTGATTATTATTATAGGCATATCTAATAATATTGTCAGTCAGACTTATAATGAACTGAATGGTGTTCTAGAATGGTGTTCCTATTTTACAAAATCCTCAGGTCCTAGTAACGCTGTGTGTAGAGTGGCTATGTGGATGGGAGGCTGACAGCTATTGCAAAAGTAATTGTTCTTGACCATTGGATTGCTATGGGGACCCAGACCAGGACACAATTTCCATTCAGCTCCCCTCCCCCTACCTCACATGATCTTGGCTTTATTACAATAACCCTTTTTGGCCAGACACAAAGGTCAGGCCTTCTCCTTCTTCTGCCCTTAGTGGTTGATGCAAATAGCAAATGTTATGTTATTTCTTGGGTCAAAAAGGAGAGTAACTATAAAAAACAGCAGGTAAGATTTTTGTGGGATCTCAAAGTGCAAATATTTTCCAGAATGTCCATACATGGACAAAATGATTATTTCTTTTAATTCTATATTCAAAGAACTGATTAAAAATAAAATTATTAAGAAGGACATTAGAGGCCCTGGCTGGTGTAGCTCAGTGGATTGAGCACGGGCCTGCAAATCAAAGGATCATGGTTTGATTCCCAGTCAGGGCACATGCCTGGGTTGCAGGCTGATTCCCTGCAGGCCAGTTACCAGCAGGGTATGCACAAAAGGCAACCATACATTGATGTTTCTCTCCCTCTCTCCTTTTCTTCCCCTCTAAAGATAAATAAATAAAATCTTTTAAAAAAGGACATTACATAACTCTAATTTAGTAGTTTAATTCCTAGAACTAACAGGATAATAAAAATAGAGAAGTATACAAGAACACAGAGTCCTTTTAAATTTAAATATATTTCACATTTTTTTGCAAAAAGTCTGGTATATTACTCAACTCCTTGGAGTCTTCTGAAACTTTAAGGAAAGCCAAGGAAGGTGTCTCTCATGTCAGTTCACAGCTCCATGTGAACTGACTTTTATTTCTAAGATGGGCTCTTGTCTGTCTTTATATGTGCTTAATGTCAGAAAACTGAAATCAATGGCACGGTTGTTATGTCATCAGCTTCTGTGTTTTATTTAGTTTCTTGAAAATAAACAGCAAACTTACCTGTTGTAATTAATTCAGTCAACCAGGTTAATAACTCATCCAAGCTAGTGGTATTGTCACTTGCAGGTGTTAATGGAGTTGATTCCACCTTGTGAATCCCAAGCAAATTCAATCGCATTATTGACACAGCTCAGCCAACTGAATGAATGGAGCAGAATCAAGAGATTCTGTTCTCCAAGAAGCTTCAGCTCCATACAACCACATCAAACACAAAGCTTCAGATCTTCTACTTCCAAGAAGGAAACATATTCCACTAAAAAATTTAGTCTCATTGTTTATCTGTCTGGATGAACCCTCATTTGAGAAGCCAAAGGCTTTACATGTATCCTCATTTAGTCCTTCTAATAACACTTTGAGGTAAATTCTACATTTACACAAGCTTTACAAATACACATGGAGTAGTTATGTAGCTTGTCTAAGGTATAATGGCTACAAAGTGGTGGGACTGAATATAATAAACCCAGGCTCCAGGGCCTAAGGTCATAATCACATTATGTTGCTCTTTTAATATTACCTTAAAGTTTAAAACTAAATTATTTTGTGTTTGAGGTTAAAAAGGAGGTTTTTATAGAGAGCAAAGAAACAAAAAGTAAATAAAAAATATATCCTCTATAAATTGCTATAGACTAATTTTCCTGAGCCTATGTACAGTCAGTTAACCTTGGCTAAGGCAGTGGAAGAATTTTCAATCTTAGAAGTAACAGCAAGAGGCAATAGTGATTCTAATGAGAGAAGAGAGGCCACATGCATATATTAAGTGGATTGTGTGGAAGCCCTGTTTTCTTTGAATATGTGTCAATGAGCGGACAGATCCACAATGCTGATACCTTTAACTCAGGAAGGATTCCTACTGAGGGAGGAAAGACTGGCTGCAAAAAAGTCACATGCCAACATATGTGCAGCTCTGATGAAATCACCAGTTCCTCTCAGGAATCTTCATATTGACCTTAGTGATCATTATAGTGAAGTGTTGATGTGTTTCTTAACATTTTTGAGTATACATTTTGCAGAATTTAGGAGATTAGACTTTTTTTAGAAGTTGCACTGCAAGACTTCTGCTATGGCCCTGAACATTTTTCTGTCCTTTCTGTTAGGGACAGTTTTCCCCCTGCTGGACAACGATGTGGACAGTGTTTTTATTTGTTTGTTTTCACTTTCTAAAACATGCTTTTACATAATTGTAACTGACCTAATTTTCAATTAACTGTGTGTGGATTGTCTCTCAACAAGGTGGTCAAAATATATCCCATAGGCTACAATGCTTGATAAACTATGAATCCAGGCTTACTTTCATATGGCTCCTAGTTAAGAATGATTACCTTTTTAAATATAAAACTATTAGAAAGAATAGCCTTTGATGTAGACAGTTACTTGGTTTTGACTCCTCACTCACAAAGCCTAAAATGTTTACCATCTAGCCCTTTGCAGAAAATGTTTTCTGACCTCTAAAATACCTCTGCCTGCTCCTGGTTGTGTCCTTTTATCCCCAAATCTCCTTACATTGTAATTATTTTCAGTTGTGTTGTCATTATTGAGTACCTTCTGTATACTACCTGACACTGATCTATTTTCCTGTGCCCAACATTTACCATTAAGCTCAGAACAAGAAGACACTCAAAACATTCTTCCTAAAGGAAGTAATTGACTATCATGAGTGCCTTTCATATTGCATGCCACTATGGTTTTATTCCCTGTGTTTCTCTTCCTTTAACAAATTCTTGTATTTTCTCTTATCACATATGCCACGTTCTCTCTTTTTCTTTCTCTGAAATATAGAATTGGGCTTTGTTGAATCCTTAAAATTATTTTCTGTATGCTCACTTTAGTTTCTGTAAAAATTTGTTGGTGCTAGGCATTTGTTTAGGTGCTGAGAATTCAAACATAAAGAAGATATAATTGTGGTCCTTCATGAGTTTATAGTCTAAAGATAACACCACTGCTTTCTGTTTCAAGGCTAATTTAAATAGCATAATAGCAGAATCTAAATTTTTCTTTTTTATTTTATTTTTTCCAGGTTCAATGCATGCTTTTATTATTTATTTAGTAGATACCAACTTTGTTTCCCCACCTTCCTACATTTGGAATTTCATCTTGTTTTTATGCTGAGTGGCAAAACAATGACAAAGGTAATAAGAATAAGCCACTCTGTGAAGAAAAATACTCTATCAGCTACTTTCTTTTAACAGGCAAAATATAAATATATATACTCTAGAGTGTACAATGGTTTAGTCACTAATAAATTCAAATGGGATCCTGAAGAATGTAGGCAAACCCAGGGTGAAGCAAAGATGAGCTGTTACACTATGCAACTGTCTAAGTGTTCCTGGGCTGCATTTCTTGGTCACTAGCTGAATCTTGACATGGGGGAAGATTTTAGCTTATATCTTTCTTTTTTAAAGCAACTGGATTATTTTATATTGTTATGTGACTTAAATTATTTCCCCCTATGTCATTGTCACTAGACTGGAAGATGCTTGACAATTCTAGAAACAGAAATGCAAATTAATTTTACATATGATTCCAAGGCATGACTAAGAAGGGCCTCTTTTGGTTGAAATATAGAATCCATTACAAAACTAGGGGTGGCATCTTTGGAATTAGAATATTACTTGAAATAGAGATTTATACACTCATGTTGTGCTTCCTTTCCATTTGTCAAAATAGCCCCCCCAAAAAGAAAGAAAACAAAAACTAAACATAAAAACACTAAGAAAAAAACAAAAACAGCAATAACCAAAATTAAGATGAAATAATGACAAATATATGTAGGTTATACCTATCTACATGTACACAGGTTAGTTAAATTCTAAAATAGAAATAAAATCAATGTTGTTCAACTTATATTAACATTTATCTCTAATCTTTAATAAGTTTGGGAAGTCAGCAGAGACTTCCACATAATCTACCTAATAATTTGATGATCATTTATGCTTATCATTTGATACTAGCCTTAATGCTCTGGTCACTGTCAAGACAGAAGAATATTATGTATACTAGCCATAGTGATTAATTTAAACAGAGAAGCACATGTGTAAGTGTACATTCACATGTGTGCACTGGTAATTGTTGGTGTACATCTGAGAGTTTGTGGGGTGTCAACTCTTCATAGTCACAAATACTCACACACACATATACAATAGGCATACACATTGCTGCAGCAACCCCATTTGGGATTGATCCTCTCACTCTTCTTTTCAACCCATGTTGGTTAGACCTCTGTCCCCCTGGTGGTCCTATTCTTATTCTCACCAGTTTTGATATCTAACCTTCTCTCTGATTGCTTGGGCCTGCCACAGGGCACTCCAAACCATCAAAGGTCCTTGCCACACTCCTGGCAGAGGCGGTTGTCTGTTCTTGCCAGGGCCCAGCGGCATCCACAGACTCTAGGTCCAGCTCTGGGCTCTGCACTGAGTCTGATACTGACTCAAATGCGCTGCTCTCCTCCTCATCATCCTGCGAGGAGAAGACAGTGCTCTCGGAGATCTTGGGACTGTCCAAAGAGGAGAAACGGGTATGGCTGGTGAACCTGCTACCATTGTAGCAGGAGCCACTGTAGCAAGAGCTGCTGTAGCAAGACGTGCTATAACATGAGGAGCTGTAGCAGGAGGGACTACAACAGGATGTGTCACAGCCTTCGAAGCTGTGGTCACCACCCTGTCTGGGGCTGGAGTCACTCTCATTCCCTGTGCTGGGGACTGAGCTGTTGGCCAAGCCAGAAAGGCCCAGGTGCATTGTGCCTAGAGTAGCCCCCTCATGGTTCTCAAAACCCTCTTCTAGAGCAGGCAGCTCAGCAGGTATCCTGTCCCCCTCACTGAGCCGATCTTTCTCCAAGGTGTTCTTGAGAGTGGACTCTTCCTCAGCACCCTCATCCTCCTGGGGGCTGTCATCCTGGGTCAAGGGCATGCTGTGCAGCAAGGTGTGGATGTGGATGTAGTGTGTCCGTGGGGTTTCAGGGTCACTGCAGGCTGATGCAATCACTGTCTCCAGCTCAGACACAGGCAAGCAACATGGCCTGTTCCTTGTCTTCATTGAGGCAGGAGGCTGCAGCCTGTCCTCCAGCTGCCTCAGAGCAGATATGTCTCCCCCTACTTCTTCCTTCATCTGTCCCTTTTCTTCCTTCTGCCCCTCAGTCTTGGTCTGTGCCATAGGATCCCCAGTGCTGTCTAGGGCTTCACCATCCTGCAGCAGCCCTGGTGGGTGTGCCTCCCCTCCCAGGCCCAGCCCCATTACCAGCTCTTCCGCACTCAGGGTGGACTCAGTATCATCTTGCCCTGGGCCCAGAAGCTCCCGAGCCCCGTCAGGTCCCATGGAGACTGTGCCGTGGTCTTCTCCTGTCTCAGTGCTACCTGCCACTTCCTCCACTGGCTTGGCAAACTCCAGGCTCCCATTCTCTGCAGTTGCCAAGGTGCTGTTCTCCCTTAGCTTCTCTGACTTGTAACTTCTGGAGGTCTCTGCTGCATCCTGTATAGGCTCCTCATGGCTGCTTGCCACCAAGTTGTTCATGGGGCTGTTCTGAATTTCTGCTGACTCAGCTTCAGTATTCAGGGAAATCTCTTCATCATCTGTGGGCAAGAGGAACATGTCATTTCTTCCACAAGAGTGCATTTTGGTTTTAGTGTATGCTGCCAGACATGGGCATGAAAGACATCTTAAGAGATTTTTATTTTAAGATATTGGACATAGGGGTTGGTAGGTTTCTCATTGGCCAGTGCTCAGCTGAAATATCTTGTAAGAATATGTTTTCTTTCTAGAACAACTAATCCTAAAATTTATATGGACCATAAAAAGACCACAGATAATCAAAACAATCTTGAAAAAGATCAAAGTGAGATATATCACATCTCTGACTTCAAATTATACTATAAAGCTATAAAAATCAGAACAGTGTGGTAATGGCACAAAAATAGACACATAGACCAGTGGGATAGAATAGAGAGCTTAGAAATAAATCCTCATTTATATGGTATTAATCTGTGACAATAGAGGCAATAATATACAATACAGTAAAGATAGTCTCCTTGATAAGTGGTGCTGGGAAAACCAGACATGTACATGTACAAAAGGAAATTAGACCACTTTCTTACACTATATACAAAAATGAATTCAAAATGGATTAAAGACTTAAATGTGTGATCTGAAACCATAAAATTCCAAGAAGAAAATATAAGCAGTAAACTCTTTGACATTGCTCAGAGCAAATATCTTTCGGGATGTCTCCTTTGGCAAGGACAAAAAAATAAAGATAAACATATGAGACTACATCAAACTAAAAAGTTTTTGCATAACAAAGAAAACCATCATCAACACAGACAACTGGAGAAGATATTTACAAATGATATATCTGATAAGGGGTTAATATTTCAAATATATAAGAAACTTCATACAACTTAATATTTTTTAAAAAAGCACTTAATTACAAAATGGGAAGAGGATCTGAATAGACATTTTTCCAAAGAGAACATACAGATAGCCAAAAGACATATGAAAAGATGCTCAACATTACTAATCATCTGAGTAGTGAAAAATAAACCACAATAAAATGTCATTTTATACCTGTCAGAATGAGCATCATCAAAAATCAAGAAATAAGTTCTGTCAAAGATGTGAAGGAAAGGGAACCCCTGTGCAGCGTTGGTGGGAATGTAGATCAGTGTAGCCACTGTGGGAAGCAGTATGGATTACCTCAAAAATTAAAAATGGAACTACCTTATGACCAAGCAATACCACTTCTGGATATTTATATGAGGAAAACAAAAACACTAATTCATTGCAGCATCATTTAAAATAGCTAAGATATGTAAGAAATCCAAATGTCCATTGATAGATGAGTTGATAAAGATGCATTATATAACACAATGGAATATTACTTAGCAATACAAATGAATGAAATCTTGTCATTTGCAACATCATGGATGGGCCTAGAGGATATTATGTAAGAAGTGAGATGAGCCAGATGGAAAAAGAAAAATACCTTACTATTTCATTTATGTGGAATGTAATAATACAAAACAAATTAATGAATAAAACAAAAGAGAAACACTCCCACAGATACACAGAATAAGCCTGTGATTAACAAAAAGGAGGAAAGTAGGGGGATGAGTAAAATTAATAAATAAAAATGGCTAACTATTTTCTTATGCGCTTGATCCCATATCCTTTAATTTGACTACATAATTTATTGTCCAAATAGAGACAGTATTGAAGTAAAAAGGCACACTATTAAAAAGGAAGTTAGGATTATAGGTACAAGCATGACTATCCTTCAAAAACTTGAAAAAATGAATTCTTTTTGTGTTAATGGTAGTTTACAGTCATTCTATATTTCTGAATTATTTTTCAAGGGAATTTATTTTTCATTAAAATAACAAAAGCCCAGTGTTACCTCCGTTATCAACAATGTTTTTTTTTTTTTTAATGTGAAGACTTTAGAGATGAGGGTGAGGGGCTTACAGTTCCTCTCTAATTCTAGGCAAGACTAATTATACTTACTCAGAGTATTTCCTGTGGCTGGGTCCCCATGATAGCAGAATGGGTAAGTCAGGTTCTTGGAAACTATAGAGCACAGAAAGGCTAGATGATGGCAGAAGCCAATTATTTAGTAGCTCAGACTGAAAGTCTTCCAGCATTTGGAGATTACTACAGTAGAAGAATAAAGAAAGTCTCTGATACAGGGTGCAGCCAGGGTGGGGGCAAAAAAAAAGATTTGGAATGGTGTCCAGAATTCAAAGTGTATAGGAATATTGGAGAGACATATAAGATGTCCTCACCCCTTCCTCCCCACAGGTGTGAGTTGGAGAAAGGGACACATAGATCAGGAACATACAGGGCTGTTTTGTACAGCCACAGCCTTGCAGCTAATCCATGGCCTGGTCGTTTAACATATCTATAGCCTTTGGTGGGTTACTTGGATGTGTAAAATGGCTGTGGCCAGGCTTGGAGCTAGGGAGATGAAATCACTTACCCCAAGATGTAACTGGGGGCAGGTCCAGTACCTGCGTGGGAGCTTGGAGAAGATTGGCTCTAGGATGTGGGATGATAACTGCCCAAACTAATGATGGCGGCCCAATAAACTTGTAATAATACAGAAATACTGGCAGGTGTAACTGATCGTGGGAGGATTTGGAAATAGGGGTACAGAGGAAGATGGGCACGAGGATTTAAAAGTGAGACATGGCAGCCATTGAGGGGAGAGGCAAGCGGTTTCAGCAGAGTGCAGACCCCCTCTTTCCCAGGTGAAAGGGAAAACCATGCAGCTTTGCCAGAATGGAGATCCCTGCAGCCAGGTGAAGAAGAAAGCCACATGCTTTTGGTGGAGTGCTGACCCCTGCAGCTTTGGTAGAAGAGGCCCACGTGGCTTTGGGATGCTCCCTTTGGCTGAGTGGCCTGGAAAGCAGGAGAGACTTTGACTGGAACTGGGTACAAAGAACTCTTGCCAGTGGACCGTGAGAAGGTACCACATAACTTTGGATTAACTATAGAGAGATCCTGTCTGCACAGTGATACAGCTGACGGCCGGTGCCAACGGCCTGAAAAACAGACCTGTGCTCTTTTCCTGATTTACGGTACCTGGAGTTGGGACAGTGGGAGAAGCAAGAGCTGTACCGGTGTAGGTGTATACCCTAAAAGACTTTGATATTTTAGTGGAGGCATTAAGCCTAAATAGCATTAAATAAACACTTCGTTTCCTTTTCACAAATCTCTGGCATTGAGAGATGCCTTTCCAATTGGCGGCAGACAGAAGAGCCCAGTAGATATTAGTATTCTGTCCTTGGGAGGGGCCCCTGTTCTGTAGCAGTATTTGGCATCCTTAGGTGGGCCAAATATTGCCCTCCCTCGGACGTGTTGTTCGGTAACATCTCCACACCAAGTAATCATTTCAGGAGTAGCAATCAAGTTTACATCTGCCTTCCCCCACTTGCTTGCTTTATTGGATTCCTGCTGGATCTGAACTTCCCATTTCAAACACACTACCGCAATTGACTTATTGAAGAAAAACTACCTCTCTAGTCAGCCATAATGCTGTCCTTACTACTACTCTGAACAAAGAGTCAGTTTTATTCTTGGAATACTGAAAAGGCTGAATTGAAAAGGAAAAACAGGTGTTTTTTACATTCTTCATTATATATGGGGCATAGAATAGTACAACTGGAGTTTAAGGAGTGGGCAGTGATAAACTCCAGACTCTGGGTTTTGTAAAACCTCATCAACTTTAACAACAATTCATAATTGTGGCCTAGGAGGACTAAACAATTCTTAGCATGATCCACACTTAGTTGTAGGCAAAGAGAAAAAAATAGAATTATGAGGCATCTCATTATTCATATTTGGAGATATGTTTTGTCTTGAAAAAGTGAACACTGGATGATTCTGTAATTTTCTGTTTAATTTAGAGTTTTTATTTTTCCCTGTGGTATTGTAAAGATCTATTGTACTATCATAGTTCTCCAACAAGACATGGAACACATTGTGCTCAAATTTCTTCATTCATTCACTCATGTATGTATGAAAGTATTGAACATCTATTGAGCACCTCATATGTGGGTGCTAGAAGTAAAATAATAAATTAAACATGGCTCCATACCTACACTGACTTCATTGTCAATCCCCATTCTATATCTGACCCTCTATCTTTTGGTCTACAGAATAAAGAATAACCTCTCTATTGAGGGGACAGCAACCTAGCACATGTCTGGAGAAAACCATGGTTATTGTATTTTAGAGAAAAGAACCGCACTATGACATTAGACTAGGGCAAGACATGAAATTCATGCTGAAAATACCTGGGTGGATGGAGGAAGTGATCTCAAATCGGAACTGCAGCTGTCCACTCACATGATCAGTTGGAAGCCTCCGGCCAAGTGTGTAGCTGACCACTCTATCCCTAAAAGCAAATAAACACCATCACATATTTGATCAATACCTCTTCTTCCAAAGACCATACCATCAGTTGATGCAGGCAGACCCAAGGAGACCCTGCTATTAGGAGGTGATAATCTACTCAGGTACCTCTGAGATGGTCTTAAGGTAAAGATGAGAATGTATATTTGACCAACAATAATGGAAAATTTCAAGAAAATCTTTATCAAATATTCCAAAGTAGAAGTCAGCAAACTGCAACTCATAGGCCAAATCTGGCCCACCACCTGTTTTTGTATATTTGTGAGCTTTTTACAGTTATAAATAGTTGAAAAAATATAAAAAGTAATATTTTTGACACATTAAAATTATATGAAATTTAAATTTCAGTTTCCACCAATGAAAGTTTTATTTGAACACAACTATGCTTTTTGGTTTACTTATTGTTTAAGGCTGCTATCATGCTACAATGGCAGAGTTGAGTGGTTAGGCAAGAGACCTTATAACATACAAAGCCTAAAATATTTATTAATGGGTACTTGAAAAAAATTTGCCAACCTGTGTTCTAAAGAGAAAAAAAAGATATGACAATTCTTTGCTTGTTTTTTCTATGCATGCTGACATTTTCCAAAAAGAAGCTTAACAATGAACAGTGCCATCAACAGATACATTTCTTGCAGTGTTTGTGTGTGTATATCTATACATACATATATAGGTGTGTACACACATATACATACATGTATATGCATGTATATACATATGTACACATGCACACACAGACACACACACACATATATATATATTTCTAAGGAAGGATACTATTTGGTTACTAAAGACCCAGTGTAGTGCTTCAGAAAGGGACATGCTGCGGGGTGTAAAACCCGTGATTTGGTTTCACTAGCCTGTTACTTCCAATTACACCAAGTCCAAGGTACCACACAGACATTCTGAAACTCTGGCACCATTGGTGCCTGGCATCTCTGAAACAATGGTGCATGTATTCTGGCACCATTCCCTCTGTACACTTAAGGGAGTTATTTAATTATAAAAAAATTATCCAAGTGGAATCAACATGTAAACTTGCTTTTATAGTTTCATCAGTAATGTAACTTCAGCAGAATGCACTTCCCCCTACCTTGGCCTAAATAAAAATACCTTGAGATATCTAGGTACCCAATGATAACAATAACATATTTCAAAAGAGATTGGTACTCAGATTATTATAAATTTATTCCATTTATTCATTTGCGACATTCAAATAAAAAGATAAATCACTTGCTGGTAATGTTTTAATGCTTTTTTTTCTAGAAAATACCAGTGCTATAAGACAATATATTCCAATGATCCATTGACTTACTATTTTTCATTGGTAAGCCATGATTTAGCATTGGACTTCCATTCGAGTCCATAAATAAAGCATTGTGTGCAGAAAAAAGTAGAAGAAACCACAATATTTCATTTATTTAGAAAGTGCCGTGGTCACTATTATGAAGTGGGTCTACTATTACCTTGAGAAAGATATCCTGGACCCAAAACTTACTTGAAATCAGGAGGGAATTAAATATAATTAGACAGACAAAATGTTAAATTTATTATGCATTTGCTTTCTATGCTCTTCTTTCCTTTGCTTTTCATCTAGTTCATCCACAAATATTTTTTGAGCCTGTGTCAAGTAAAAACTGCTGCAGTTGATACAAAGCAATATAAAGCTTAACCCCTGCCTTTAAATAGCTTACATCCAGCTGGAGGCATAAAACAGGACCACCAAATAAGGCAGCTGGTGTTATGTCTAAAGGGGATTCAGATAAGGCAGAAGGACAGCTGAGGGCTGGGATATTATAGACAGAAAGGTTGAGGAGACATCAGAAATGAGAGTGCATGTGTGCCTGGAGAAGACAGGAACAAAATGTCTGAGGATAGAAACAAAAATGGAAACCTTTGCAATACATTGAGGGGGATAGATGTGGGGATTATATTTGTTGAGGGCAGAGGGAAGCTGTGGTGTAAGGTGGATTTGATTTTTTTATGGGTGAGTCCTGAGGTTCTGCCATGGCCCAGGCTCAAGTGGCCACTGCTTCAGTGGCAATTACCTTAATGCTCTTTTTATATATTTGGGCACCTACAGAATTGGAAGCACTGAAGAAATGGCCTCTAGGAGCTGTGGAAAGCAGCAGGCCTGGAAGAAAAATACTGCTCCCTTCAGGCCCTAGTGGGCAGTGGCCTGTTACTCCATCAGAGCTGGTCAGAGGAAAATGCCTCTCGAGTGTGCTGTTGCTTCATCCTAGACAAGACTGAAGCTCAACATTTGCTTCTTCTTTTTCCTGGATGGCAAGAACACTGTGGGAAAATTGTGTCTTACATTTTTCTAACAGGGCAGACCCTTTCCCACCTCAGTTGCCTGCTTTCACTACTTGGGGATGTTTCTTTCTACAGTAGAAAGTAGGAGGCCAGGAGGGTGAGGCAATTAGGTAAAGAAATTAGGCAGTAGCTTTGGTTTATGAAAAGTACTCAACATGGAAGAGCAGATGAGTTCTTTATGGCCATAGCAAGCAGGGGGAGGGAAGTCCAGTTTAACAGACACTAACTGAATTTCTGATATACACTAGACAGCAATGTGCTCAGTACTGAGGTATAAAGAATCCTACCTAGATTCTCTTTTTGTCCTGTGGTCTACTTTCTGGCACAGGTGTTAATAGCTGTGAGAGCAGATAGTGGGGCAGAGGAGAGAAATGAAAAATGTGGCTAATGATAAACTTGAGAATCACCCAGGAACCTTTTGAGGAGCCTGTTGCGGGGAGGGGGGGGGCAGTTAAGCATTGATGACAGGCAGGTGTGGGTTTGAACTCTGGCTACATTTCTGTAATGTACAAGCCTTTTAGATAATTATTTATGCTATTTAAGTATATGATTTCTTATAAGAAGGAATGGTGGTAGTGCCTCAGTCCCAGTATTAAAAAAAAGACTAAATGTTATATAACGATGATCACAACTACCATTCCCTTCTGAGTTTCTACTATGTGCCACAGCTACTTTAAATTCATATGAATATATTTCATTTGTTTGTTTAATCCTCACATCCATGAATGGAACATACAAACATTGTGTTTGACACTTGGCTATAGCTCCATGACAGTTCCCCTTAACTTGAGAGTTAATGGCATATCTTCATGCACACAGTTGGAAACTTGCTAAAATGTTTTAACTTTCCATATTATAACCATTAGTGAGTCCAAAGTCCTTCTGAAAATACAAAGAACATTAAGTTGAGACACTTGGAAATTCTACATTGATATCATTCTAAGGGTCACATTGTACTGAAGCATACATTTATGGCCAGGGAGCTATACCTTGTGTTTTCAAATATACTTGCTATTACCTAAGGAAATACATAAGGATTTTATTTGCTCTGATTTCACTTTAATGATAAACATGAGTGTAAAAAAATATAAAACACAGAAACATATTCTTATATACAATTAAATTGTTCAAACAATATAATTGCTATTTTCCATGAGAATTCATGCTTTTTAAAATTTCATGCATATTATCTAACAATTTCTATAAATACTAGGTTTTTCTAAGGTATTCTAGTAACCCAGAATTTTATCTTGTTATGGAACTATCACAAAGGTTTAAGTCCAACACATAAGACAAGCATACAAATAAAATATCCTTCATAGTAAAACAAATTTTAATTTCTATGTGTAAAAAATAATTAAGGGAATTAAGGGCCCTTTTCATTATTGTGTCTTAGGATTTTTTATGCTCTTGCATCAGGAACCAGTGATACATAAACAAGGACAAAGGAAAGGGTTTGTTTGATTGAATGTTGTGACTCAAACAACAATAAGAGAAGTCAAGGAAACTTAACATCATCATTTCATTGTATTTTTAGTCTCTTTGAGACTATATTTTTACAGCTTGCAGGCCTACTAGATAAAGTGTAGTGCCACTAAGGTTTTAATCACTTGTTTACCCTATGGCGTGTCTTTCCAGGAGTCTTTGAACTGGCATTGAAAGCTTTCCCAAGAAGCGCTTGATGATAGGGCGGCTCTTGGCAAACTTGTCCTTCACTTCAATTTCCAGCACATCAGTGGGCAATGACACAAAGCTGAATTGCTGCAATGAAATAATTTCATATGAATTAACTGAGAGTTGGGAGTGCTGACCAATTTTCAGTCCATCTGCTTTGGATAAAGTTATGGTAAAACATTCCAGTGGCTCCAATCCTTGTTTATTCATGAATAATGTCACAATGAGGTACTTCCTCAGTGCTTAAAATATGTGGTTAATCTCTGGGATTCAAATAATAAATACAACTCACTTAAAGAGAAAGAAGCTACCCAGGCCTGACTATACTTGACTAAAAGTATTAACATACTTAAAGTAAAAAAAAAAGCACAATTACTTATAATACAGAAAATGCACTTTAAATCATAATTAATTTTTTTTGTGATTACAATGGAAGAAATTTTTAAAAGATTGATAATACTCCACATTCGTGAGAGGGGAAAAAGACAAGCACTCTCACACTGCACTGATGGGAATTTAAATTGATTCAACCTTTGAGAAGGGAATTGGCAATATTTATTGTCATTTAAACTGAAAATTCCCATCAAAGCAGAATTTTACTTCTAGGAATTCTTCCTCTGGATTAACTTGCATAGGTATACAAAATATATATTTACATATATTTACATATATGTTCATTGGAGAATTATTAACAATAGCATAATACTGGAAGGACCAAACAGTTCTACTAATAGGAAAGCAGCTAAATGAAGTATGGCAAATCTTTGAATCAGAGAACTCTGGCTGTAATTAAAAATAAAGAGGCAAAAGTGCACATAAATGAAAAGATACTTGAAAAACAAGTGAAAAATCAGGGCATTGGAAAATATAAACATTGAGATTCAATTTGAACTCTTTAGAGAAGATGCCTGGAGGGGTACACTCCAACCTAAACTCTAAGAAGTGGGCTGGTAGAGGAGAGGGACAAAGCAGATACTTTTCATTTAGTTCTAAACTGTTAATTTTAAAACAACATACTACATAAACTCACAGTAACCAGAGGGGAGGGGGAAGGGGGTTGATGGGGAAAAGAAAGGGTATACACATTCCCTTATCAGGGAATGTGTATAAATGACCCATGGACAAAGACAACTGGGAGGGGAGGATTGAAGGTAGGAGGTGGGGGTGCATAGGGTGGGGAGGAGAAATGGGGGTAAAGTGGGGACAACTGTAATTGAAGAACAATAAAAAAGAGTAAAAAATAATCAAATAAAGGCAACAATGATTAAAGTACAGAAAAGGAAAGGAAGATAAATGTTGACATTGCCTAGCTCAGATTATCTGAGATGAGAGAGTCTTAATCACCATTGAACTTTACAGTAACTTAAAAGTTGTGAGACCACTGAAAAGTGTAATTATTTTGTTCATATTAATTCCTAATAACAATATTTGAATTAGCTAATTTCTACTTACAGAGTTTAAATATGTTGAATGTGCTAATATTAACATTTCTTCTGTACTACTCAGGGTGGGTTAGGGCATGCTTCAATAACAACCAAATTCCTAGACTTTAATTCCTTGCTCACATTGTCATTATTAGCTGGCAGAGGGCTCTGATTATTAGTCACTCAGAGAACTAGGTTGATGGAGCAGTCATATACCCTCTCCAATTTTGCCAGCAACAGTGATAAAGGGAAAGAGAATGCTAGAGGGTCTTCTTCCTATAAAGGTGCTTGCTTCCAAAATCAAACCCTCAAAATCAAAAATTTTGATTTCTAAATTTTGATTTCAAAATAAAAAATTAGAACTAGAGGGAAGGGAATTTAAGGGGAAAATGGGGAGGGATTTTGAGGAACAAGTATGAAAGACACAGGGATGAGGACTGGGGGGAGGAAATGGGAGGGAGGTGGGGAGACGGGGCAGGGGAGGCTGGGATGGGAGAAATAGACAAAAAACTGTACTTGAAAAATAACTAAATAAAATAAAAAAAATTAGAACTAGAAACATGAACAAGCCAAACAATCAAAATCAAAAATTTTGATTTCTAAATTTTTATTTCAAAATCAAAAATTAGAACTAGAAACATGAACAAGCCAACCATATAGAGAAGGATGTAGTATCCTACATTGTGTCTGAGTGACAGCAGAAATATTTGGCAAGCAGCACTAATGATTACCACATAATCCACACATCACTTCTAATTTTTATTAAAATTTAGCTTTAGTAAATGTTTATATAATGCCTATGAGCCCATAATTCTTGGTATTGACAAAACTAAATTTATGGACATTCTATGCTTGAGAATCAAATCCCCAAAAAAGACATATCTGAGTGAGAGGCCTATTCCCTGTAACTGTCTTAGGTCCTCAAAATATCTATATATTTGGACCAATAATTCCATTGTGTAATGCTTTTCTTAACTGAAATGCTAAACAATAGGCCAGGTACATTGTACTATACACATATGATTCAATAGTTGATATATTTTAATTATAATAACACATTACAACTATGTGTGTGTGTGTGTGTGTGTGTGTGTGTGTGTGTGTGTGTGTGTAATTCACAGTTAAGCCTTAAGAGCAAGTGAGATGATGGAGAAAAATGTCAGCCTCATTCCAAAACTCTTAATTGGGAGAGAACTCATAGTGCTTGCTGGTTTTCACCAGTTTTTAGGATATTATTTAAAAATATTTTTATTCATCATGTAAATTTCCATATGGCTTAAGTCACTTGGCATTTTCTCACCAAAAACACCCTATCCCTGGTTGGTGAGGCTCTGTTGGTTTGAGCATCATCCCATAACAAAAGGGTTGTGGGTTAAATCACAGTCCCAGTGCATAAAATCCCCATCCAGGCACATATGGAAAAGCAACCAGTCCATGCTTCTCTCTTGCATCAGTATTTCTCTCTCCCTTCTTTTTGCTCTTCCTCTCTCTCTCAGAGCAACAAAAAAATGTCCTTGGGTAAGGATAAAAAAAACTTCCTAAATTGACATATTTATTGATACAGAAACCATACAATTCAGATTTTTAGCATAGTTCTTTTCCCTCCAAAATTTAATTATTTCTAGGAAAAGCAATTCAATAAGTGTTAAATTAAATATATTTTTTCCTAAGACAGTTTACCATAATCTATAAAACACTGACATTAAGAAGGTGCCTTCAAGAAGATCCAACATAGTAAAGGGGTAATTGGAAGCTACACTAACCCCCTCCCAGGACTAATATGGAATTACGACTAAATTGTAAAGAAATCATTCTAAACAGCCAACTGAACACTAACTGGACAGAAGCCTTATAACCATGGATGGACAGAAAAAAACACTTCACCACAATGTGACTGGCAGGGAATGCAGAGACATCAGAGAGTGAGCTGGGCTCCCATGGGCAGCAGGGAAAGGTCCAGAAGGATATTTCAGTGGCTGGGTGTTTCCCATCAGAAACATGGAGTCTAGTCTAAACCCCAAGATTGGATCCCCAGCCTACAGCACCAAAGCTAAAAAGGAACCCAGATATCTTCCAGCTGTGAAAAGCAACAGGGTTTCTTTCTGCCAGGGAGAGGTAGCTGGAGACTCATAGAGACTCTAAACATCCACCACACAAAATTTCATTTGTAGCCACTTACCTTGGGCTCTGGCAAAGAGAGGACAGAATGGACTAGATATGCTTGAAGAAAGTATATGGTTGGTGGCTCTGGAGAGAAAACTGAAGAAACAACCACATGCTAAGTCATTCCCCATACTGCAGAAGCTAACTTTCTCAGGAGGAGAACTCCTCTCCAAGTTGCAACAGCCTGTGGGGAAGCAAGAACCCCTCCTGCAGGAATTACTCTGCTACAATTTGAGAAGCTTAAACAGGCTACTGATTATATTTTGATTAGCTTAACAACAGATCAATTTAATGATTGATTACTTTAACAATTAAGGTGGAAAATACAAAGAAGCGAACAAAATAGGAAGAAAAGGAAACAGATCCCAATAGAAATAAAAAGAGAATTCTCCAGAAAAAAATAGATAAAATGGAGGCAAGCAATTTATCCGATAGAGTTTAGAGCAATGATTATAAGGGCATTCGACAGCATGACAAATGACATAGAAACCATAAAAAAGACCATTCAGAAATAAAGAATGTAATATCTGAAATAAATAATACATTTAGATAAAACAAAGGATTACATCAGTGATTTGGAAGACAAAGTAGAAAAAAACACCAAGGCAGAGCAGCAGAAAGAAAAGAGAATTTGAAAAAATGAGAAGAGCTTAAGAAACATTTTGAAAATTGGAAGCATAACAACATATGCATCATGGGAATAACAGAAAGAGAAGATAATGAACAAGGGATCAAAAACCTATTTGAAGAAATAATGACCAAAAATTTCCCTAATCTGGTGAAAGATAGATACACAAGTCTAGGAAGTTCAGATAGTCTCAAACAAGTTGGACACAAAGAGGCCTATGCTGAGACACATCATAATTAAAATGACATGGCTTAAAGACAATGAGGGAATCCTAAAAGCCACAAGAGAAAAAGCAGGTAGTTACCTACAAAGGAGCACTAATACCACTGGCATTTGATTACTTAACAGAAAATATCAGGCTAGAAGGGAGTGGCATGAAATATTTAAGGGGATGAAAAGCAAGGAACTATAACCAAGGTTATTTTACCCAGCAAAGTATCCATATAACTACTTTATCCAGATAAGTACTTTGCCTATCATTTAAAATCAAGGAGAAATAAGGAGCTTCCAAGACAAGAAAGAGCTAAAGGTGTTTGTAAACACCAAACCAGTATTGCAACAAGTGTTCAAGGGCTTGTTTAAAAAAAAAAGAGGAAAAAGAGAAAGAAAATAGAAACCCAGAGGAAAACAGTCTAACAATAATAGAATGGCAATACATACATATGTACCATTAATAATTGCAAACGTAAATGGCTTAAATGCTCCAACCAAATGAAGTATGTTAGTTGAAAGAAAACTAGACCCATATATATGCTGCCTCCAAGACACCTAACAAGATACATACAGACTAAAAGTAAAGAGATGGAAGAAAGTATTGAATATGGAAAGGAAAAAAATGCTGGGTTAGCAGTACTTATATATGAAAAAATAGA